TTTCACACTGATATCTAAAGTACTAATTATTCCATTTCAATGAAACTTAGTACAAAGATGCTCTAGGACAATGTACAAACCTAATTAGTTTGGGGTAAAAATCTGTTCATATTAATTCCCTAATAAGCATAATAATTCATAATTTTTTGGTTCTAATCACATTTCAATTAAACTTGGAAACATAGATTTTCTGTTACATTGCGCAGACCTCATTAGTTTTACACTCAAATCTGTTCATATTAATTTTCTGATTTGCATAATTAGTTTTCAGCTAAGTAATTTCGAATTATATTTAATGTGTCTCCAATACTCTCAGCACATGGGAGTTCTTTCTAAGCTTTCTTTGATTTTGGTTCTAATCACATTTCAATGAAACTTGGTACATTGTGCAGACCTTATTAGTTTTACACTTAAATCTGTTTATATTAGTTACCTTATTTGCATAATTAGTTTTCAGCTATTCCATCAATATCTCAAGTATAAGTAACTTTGAATTAATTTTTAATGTGTCTCCAAAACTCTCAGCACACGGGAGTTCTTTCTAAGCTTTCTTTGATTAATTACATATGTTTGTTTCAAATGTTTAGGATTCTGTACGGCCTGAAGATAAAGGACGCAGATTCATCATAAGTTATCGCTTAGCAGATGATATGATGATGATATACGAACCACCCGTCCGTAACTCTGGTATCATTGGGGGAAAATTCTTGGAACGTACTAGAGTTACAAAGCCTGGGAGCGTTGCAGAAAATCCAGATTTCTATGGTCCACAGGATATGTTCATTGGAGCTCGTATACAAGTGTTCAACCATCGATTCATCATCACTGATGCCGATGACTTTGTTCTGCATTATTTGGAAGCTCGTCCTAGTGACTTCCCTGGTAGTGAGAGGACAGCAGCATCCATCAGAGAACTGAAGATGTCACAAGCTGGACAACCAGTCAGGACTCCAGTTAAAGGTGCTCCCCTTAGAGTACAGAGAGTGTAAGTATGCATCCTAAGTCAGTTACTGATGTCTTCCTCTTTACAGGACCACTGACTTTTTTTTGACGAACACAGAACCAAAATGATTTTTATTCAAAATGATTGAATATGCAAGGATTAAAAAAAAATGATGTACATGTTATGCATATTGTTGAGAACACCCAGACAGTCAGGAAAATGTAATTATCAAATATATCTATATCACATAACAAAATATGCAAATAACACTGAATAAACGGCAAGGTAAATACTACGTCAAATCAAAGTAAACATGTACTGCATGCGTGACTCGAACGGGCACTCGCGTACTGCACCTAAGCTTCACGTCACTACACGTCGGCCACTGGGCATCCCCAATAAAAGAATGCTTAATACAAACATGTACTACACGATATCGACTCATTTTCATTTGTTACCACATTCTGCTCACTATTACCGGTGTATGGATAATAAAATTGGCAAAATAACGCGGCTAATACTGGGTTAGTAATGCAGGGGTAAGATGAAACAATATAGAAACGTTGAAATTTCTAGATTTATGTAAATTGTACTAGCCTAATCAATGTAAATAATTACTGTATTAATTATTCGCTGTAAAAATGAATTATCAAGAACAGCACCATTTCACCTATCAAAGTTAAAACGAACGTCTATTAATTATAACTTGTTCATTCCCTGCTTAGACCTGGCGATACGCAGAGACTAGTTGAAGAGGTACAAGCTCAGCTCCGTAAGAGTAACTATCTTAATCACATTGATTTGCGTACTGCCTTCCTCAAACATGATGGAGACAGAACTGGTAGAATAGATGCAGCCGGATTGAAGGAAATTTGTAATAAGAACAACTTACCCATCGATGATGATATTATAGATGCTGTAAGTTACACTAAACAGTCATTTTATCCCATGTTGATTATCAGTATAAACCCCAAAATGTGAGCAAATTTGCCCAAATAATTCAAGCAGACAACAAATTTGGTGTTCAAAGGGTTACCCTTTTTACCACCAGACTTACTTGCCCAAATTTTTCCACACTTTCTTCCCATGTTCTTCAATATTACTGGAAATGAACCCTGATTTTGGAGTCAACAGATCAAATTTGAGTCAATTTTCAGTTTTTACTGAAAATATTTGGCTATTTTTTCCCAATCTTGTGAAGGAAAGTGCAGACTATAATTGTGAATTTGTGATGAAAAGAACAAACTGGTGATGAAGAGCTTAATTTCTTTTATTTAACTGATACTGTTTCGACCATTCATAAAGCAAATGTTAATGAAATTGCATGAAGTATTTCATGTAATATATTTACAATAAATTGATATTTTGACACCTTTATCCTGATTTTGTTACTGTTGCGCAATAGAAATGCATATACAAACAAAAAATCATAATTGATGTATACTGAATCATAAAAATATAACCTATTTTTACCATATACACATCTCTGTGATTTATATAAGGACTACTGATAAAGCTACTGATAATACAATATATTTAATAATTTTATTTTGAATAAATTCTGGCATGTAATTGAGCAAATGTGTTTATTTGTGAAAGTAGATATACTATGACTCTCATTACATAAGCTGATAAATTAATTGCTTAGCTAGATCACACCCATGTGTGTATTTGAATACATATCGTTTAACGTTTCTTTACTTGCTCCTAAAGTTGTTTCTACTTTGTGTTTTTCCTGCAGCTTATTGCAAATTGTGATTTGAACAACGAGGGCTTGATAGATTACGAAGGATTTATTAGATGCCTCAGCTGGGCGTAGGTGGATCAGTCAAATGAAACCATTGCACTCGTGAAATGAAAAACCCAACAATAACAATATCTTGTACATACTATATTGATTCTTTGATCAGAATAGACTGATTTTAGTAAAATAAAGTGTATATTATGGAAATGCTATTTTAAACAATTGTTTAATTGTCCCTTCATAAAGAGGTAGCAAATGATGGTAATTTGTAATGAGCATTGTACTTACAGTCCAAAACTTTGTACATATTTGGAGGATATTCGTTCCCTTTAAGTAAACTTGGTTGATATATACTGGGAAAGTGGGCAGGGCGGGGGGCATTCATTTTCCAGTTTTAGTTCAGAGGACGATGATATGATGGACAGAATTTAAGCTGTTTCATGATAGATTTATGTTGTCTGTTTCATGTTTTAAACTCGGCCGTTTTGCATCATTTCGTGCAAAATAGGTTCTAATCAACATGCAAAATTAGATGTGTAGTAATTTTTTAAGTTCAGTTTATTGCAATGTTATTATGTTAATGTATTTTGTTTTCAATAAAGACAAAGTTACTGGAGAAGACTGTTTTGTGTGAATTGAATACTTTCATTTGCCACCATAGAATCAAGAGAATACATACATGTATGTACATGTATACATACTATTGTAATACCTTGGCCATTTTTTGGTTTGAATTATTTGTAAAATTTGTTGTACCTCACCACCCGACCTCTAATTTGCGTCTTAATTTGTATGTTCCATTCAGAAAGTTCCGTTGCAAGCAACTGAATAAAATGCAACACCAACTTGTTTGTCTAGCACTAAGAATGGGTCTCGTCATCAGGTTTGGTGAAGTGACGTCAATTTTAGCCAACATTTCATGTTTCTCCAATTTGTTATGCAAATCTGATATTGTATGCATTATGTTCACAGTAGTGGGTGGAAACCTGTTTTTTTTTAAACACTAGATGGCGCTATATGTTATGCCCCGGTAGTTCAGGAGTACGTAATAGTTGCTGTATGCTCATAAGGCTATGTCACATGATTTGGTTCGGTCTGTGTCGCATTACAACTCAGGAATGCATGATCTGATTTGAATTGCTTAGTGAATTGTGCAGCCGCTCAGCAAGTGTATGACTGATGTACATTCAGAGGTATTGTTAGGCAAAAAAGGTAATTTTTGGTCAAAAAACAGGGTTAAAATGATGTTTTTTGTCTGTTATTGGCAGTGTATTCAAACTTCATGTATAGGTGATACACAATACATTACATATATCAATAGATATAATTAACATGTATTAAGTGGTTTTTGAGCCAAAATATCGTATTTTTGGCCCAAATTTGGTGTAATTTTTTTTCAAAGTTCAAACTTTGCATTGACCTAATTTTATTCAAACTTGGAATATATACCCAGTATTATGAGACATAGCTGCAAGGGTCATAGTTCGGGCCAGAAGAGATTCAACAAACGTGAAAATGTTATGGGGTATTCTCACGTATGTAATGTTTTATACGCGGTGGTCAATTATTATAAAGGGAGCATTTTGTATTGGGCTTTGAAAAAAGAAATTTAAATGTTTGCGGCAGATGTTTGGTCCCAGTCTTTCACGCAATACACAAGATCTCGCAGTGAATGAAAAATTACCTATGCAAGCACTCAAATCTTAGTTTGCACAAAGACTAAGTCGAAAAAAAATTGTTTACCAACTTACTGTCCCAATATTTTCAAGATCTGTTATATTAAAACTCAAACAGACAAAAACAAAGAGTACCCAAAATAGGATTAATAACAAATATAACATTTTATACTTTATAATTTATACGTAAAAATACATGTACAGCAAAAATATTCTTGGAAAATATTTCAGAATTATTACAGAAATGTTTTTATTCAATACAGCCATTGATACTGTAAAATACTCTATTTTCGCTTGGAGTTTATTTTCGCTGAAGTAGTGATTAAGTGAAAAAAAATCCAATGAATATACCTTTTTTTTCTTGTATACACACATTCAACTCATTAAAAAAATCAGTGAAGATACACTCCATGCAAAATGCTCAAAAAGTTCTCTCAGCACAAGTTAATTCCGGCTAAAATGAAGTATTTTACAGTATATGACAAATGCAGAAAAAATTATAATGCTGCAAATACACAAGTGACCTGGCAGTTGAGATAGCTCCACTGTTTCAGCAAAGTAGTCTTGCAATAGTAGGTGTATGACTCTGGTAGTTACATGAACATTATTGTGAAAAAATAACCATTCTAAAGTGTTTCCACTCCTGTGTTTTGAGTTTATCATTGATTGGGATATGTTTAATAGTTCATAAGTTCTGGATTTGTGTCATGAAATGATCTAATCTAATCAGTGTTGTCCACAAATAAAATTTCAAGAGGGGTGCTAATTTGCATATAATTAGCATATCTAATTTGGTCCATCCAAGTTTCAAATCAATCAAACGAGAAGTTATCAGGAAGAAGTAAAATGGAATTTTTGACCAAAAATATTCACTAAAAGTACAGAATTGAAGATATTGTTACAAAATATTCAAATCTAATAGTGGTTCACCTAAGGTATATTAAAGCAATTGGAGCAGTGGTTTTCAAGAAGATGAAAATAAAATTGTTGATCTTTATTAAAAATAGAGAATTGAAGATATAGTCACAAAATGATCAAATCTCAAGGAACATATGTTCAAAGTATAAAAGCAATAGATTTAACAATTTTTTAAAAAAAAGAAGGTGCAGACCGATGTAGCTTCGCTGTCATCGGGGGAAAAAAGCAATGTACTCAAAATTTGTTGGGAAAATTGAGGCAGTGAATTGATCAATAGGGAAACTCCTTCATATATTTTTTTTTAGCAAGGATCTTTGAAAATGGGAACAAGCGAAGCATTCTTGGATAGTTTGTAATGAGTAGGCAGTGGTATAACATCTCCAGGAAATTCTTATTTGGTAAGAAATAAAATTAAATAAAATCCATCTACATAAATTTTTACATCTGGCAACAATGAGCAGCTCCTTGGGGTCAGGTTTTGAAAGACCACTTGGCAACAATGATAAAGCATGATTCTGAAAAAGTTACTTCACTTCTCATCATCACTACTACTACTACTCAGTCATAAACAGACTTTTGTACCAAACATGACTAAACCAATAATTCCTTTTATCCAAACGTATGACGCTGGTTTTCACATGTGTTTGTGAAGACATCACTGAATGTGATTGGCTACGGAGAAACAACCCAAAGCAAATGCTTTTATAAACCGAAAGGTTCTTTGTAACACAGAAGCAACAGATACATTAAATACTTAGTAACCTAGCAACTAGAGAAACTGGGACTTCAGTCTCTCTGTTGAAATTATTCATACATTTTTTTTCCCCAAGGATTTTTATTTTTACAACGTGATGAGCATATGGCAGTGATAAAATTATTATTACAAAAGTAAAAGTTTCCATTGCATTTAAACATAACTGTTTTACAGCTTTGATTCAGTGACAGAAAATAATTACATCTTTGTTTCATTCAATTGTAAGGGACAACTTCAAAAGATCGATGTCGGATAAAAAAACTTATTTGCTTTAGTTTGGGGGTGGAGGGTTTTGACCTCAAGTTTCCATCCTACAAAAACGATTTTATTTTTTAATGAAGTCAAAAAAATCATAGAGTATTTGTAGTTCATTTTTTTTCTATCCAATCATGAACAAAAATAACGGAAAATGAAAAAACAAACATCCAAGACGAGAAAATGGTTTGGTCCGAGAGTAAATATGTGCGTCAAATGAGGTAAATTTCAGGGCATGGACCTAGAACCAACTGCTATGCCATACTACTGTTCGATTATCAATTTGTATTTAATGGTGAATGTAGTCTGACGACATGATCAATATTGATCAATTAAGTTTCAGTT